AAAAAAAAAAAAAAAAGGAAAAAAGAAGAAGAAATGCAGTCACGTACAACGAAGACTCGGGACAAAAGTAAAACACAGCCGCAACGAGGAGTAGAGTCAAGTGGCTGTTGTGTTTTCTTCTCGCGATTTTCGTCCCCTTTTACCAACGTCGCTAATGAACACGCCGACGTTCTCACCCCTTTCTAGTTTTGCGACAATGTTCGCGATGACGTGTTTTTTTTTTTTTTTTTTTTTCCATTTTTTTCGATAACCATACAAATTAATAGCAGTGTTTCGTTGAAGCATGTACATACAAAGAGTTTATCCACATATGAACACGTACATCGTTTTTATCGTGTTCCCTGTTGTTGTTGATATTGCAAAAATTTAACGCTGCTGCGTGCTACTTAATAGGTTTTTCTAGCTTTTTTGGTCGTACCCGTTTTTCTTCCTATACAAATATATATATAATTATGTGTACACATTTTACTCAAGCCAACTTTTGTATAAATACGTATCAAATTATTACGATATTTTTTAATCACTGGTAATTTTATGGTCAGTATAAATTAGATTTATGCACAGCAAAGTTCTCAATGCGATAATTTCAGGGGATCAAGCGGGCATTGTTTGCTCGCGGAAATCCTAAATAATATAATTCATACGTTCTAATGACAAGATTATTAAAGTTATTATTTTTTTAGTAGATTGACAAATTGATGTTTACGTGCATGAAATAAATTGTTTCTGCAAGTACGTTCTAAAAAGTACGCTATATTGAATCTCAAATGAATCTTAAGTCACCAACAGTTGTGGAATAATGTTCACAAACCATGGGAAAACAGTGAAATTTGTTTATATCATTTTATTTCTTGTAACACAAGTCGGTGAAATTAAATTTTTGCTCTAAATTGAATAAAAGTATAGTATTATCATTATTTTTATTCACATAGTAACGACACAGAAGCATTCTGAGTATCCAAGGAAAGATACATCAAGTGAGCTTTCTAGACAGTTAAAGGAAAGTAATTTGAAAAGGTAATTTTGAAAGTTAAAAAATGGTAAAAAAGTATATTTTTTTGTAGGTATCCCTAGATGAAGTCTTGGGTTTATTTAAATACCATTTTTTTAAATGTGAAAAATAGTATTGTGATGAATGAACAACTGCATGCAATTAAGTATATTAATTTTTTATTTGCCAGACATTTAACGAAATTGAAAATCAAACACTAGGTAATAAAACTTAATATACCCTCCTTGGGCGTGGGAATTTATTCCTAGATTTAAAGAGTTAACCATAATCTCCACTCCATAGGACAAAAAATATTTTATGAGTACGGTAATGGCATCACGACTAAACAATAATTAAATTGCAATAAACTGTGGGAGTAAACTACAGTAATTATTCTTTTCTTTTTATTTCACTTAAGAACTCTGAAAGCATTTTTTTTTTTTAATAATATCAATTTTTATTACACAGTTCATTGTTTCAAGTTCTGTTCTTTCAATTATTTTTTTATTCTTCTTTTCAATATTTAAAATATGACTTCTTGCTGTATTTATTAATAAATTTTGGCGAGGCAAATCTGTACTTGATTGCGTTCACCACGATCTGCATTAAAAATCAATAAAACACACAATTCAGCCTAACTTTGGATTTTTGGATGCCTCGATAAAATATATGCGTGCACAACTATAAAGTACATGTATATAAGTGTAAAAGTACTCTTCTTTCCCTTTGTTTTCTTGTTTACATTATTGTGTGTTAACACAGAAGTATAGCGATGCAAAAAAGTTTACACTGGCATTGAGTAAACTGCTTGGCAAGCAAACGCCACAAAAATGTATACTCGTAATGTAGATGTGTCTACGTACAGATACATAGTTGCAATAGAGCAATGAAGTACAGATCCGACTGGTCAAACATTTTATTATTACATCTCAGAGACCACACACCCATCAAATGGCCATAAAAATGCATGCACACTTCATTTTTATTTACTCGAAGCATTGTTGTTGCTGCTGTTGCGTATTTTTTATGTCAACGTCAGTAGGCGCATATGTGCGATGTAAGCGCCTCAACGGTTTTCTTTTATTTCTGATTTTTTTTATTTTT